GGTCAGACACAAAGAGCTCAAGCCAAGGCCTTAACTCCCCCCTCCCCCAAGCTGTCCCTGCTTCCTTTATTCCAGAATTTTTTATTCTAATAGTTCTCAACTCCGGCTGACAACCAAGCTCACTATGGAACATGTAAAGTTTGGGCTCTCTAGCATTGTTCTCAACATCTAGTGCTGCAAAATATGCGGGGGAAGCCTGGAAGCCCATTGGAGATTCTGGATGCAGGAGAGATGAACATCTACTGCCTATATTTCTCAGCCACAGCCCCACCTGTTTCTCCAGGGAGCTTGAACTGTGGGTGCAATTTTCACTGCCAACTGTGAATATTAGAGTTTTTATCTCCCCCTGCCTAGCCACAATATATTCTGCAAATGCCTTTCCTTGATTTAGTAGAACTGGAATTCTCTGAAAAGGTCTTAAATGGGAAATAAAAATAACTAATAAATAAGAGTTTATGAGTTTAACTTTTAAATTTAGATGTCTTAATGAAATCTTATCAGCCATTAACTAAGAGCTACTTAACTCAGATGTTTCCCCTTTCATGCCTCAGACCTGACCAGTCCTAACCCCAAATCCATCATCCTTGGATGTCTTACTTGTTTTCATTTCCTCTGGTAATGACCAGTCCTTTTCTCACCCCTAAATAATTCTCCATCTGCAGAAGAATTACATCAGTTGTCTTCCTCCAGTATCCTTGGGATGCCCAGGCCCCCTGGATCAGAAGTACAAGGTCAGGGCAGAAACCTCATGTGGGCACTCTCCACCAGTGTCCTGGCTGCTTGGGTGCCCTGCTTTATCCTCTATCCTTTGTCACTTCCATCATTATTTTCATACGCAATCTTGTCACAGTCCACATGGCCCCTCTTCCAACAAGAAGTGACAGGACTCTGAATCAGGACTCCCATCCAAATTATGCCCATGTAAACAAATTCTTCCACATCTTGGATGAAGAAGAAACAAGGGACTCTACTGCTATAATCATCCACATGTCCTCTTTCCTTTTGCTCCATATGGGCCATAAATCTACTCCATCTCCTCTATCACCTCCTCCAGTTCCAACCTCCCTCAAGTCCTGGCTAATGGCAGTCTTTGTCTGTATGACTAGAAAGATAATAACAATAATATCTTATTGTTTGAGAACCAGAGTACGCCAGAATTCCTCAAATTGTTCTCTTCACTTTTCTAGGAAGAATCACATCATATACAAGTATAAGAGAGTTTCATTCTTTTGCATGTGTATACCCAGTTGATGGAAAAATTATTTGTTGAACAGACTGTTCTTTTTTCTTTCCATTTGTTCTGTTACTATTGTTTTAAATAAATTAGCCATAAATTTGAGGTGATTTTTAAGGTTTCCAAATCTATATTTATCTTTGTGGAAATATTGCTCTGTTTTATACCATAACTTTATAGTAAATTTTAGAATTGAGAAGTGTGAGTTCTCCAACTTTGTTTTCTCTTTTTTTAAGATTGTTTTGGCTATTTTGGGTTCCTTTCACTTCCATATAAACTTTAAAATCAGTTTGATAACTTTTAAAAATAAAGTTGATGGAATTTGATAGGATTATATTAAATCTGAAGATCAACTTTAGGAGATCTACTATCTTAAGTCTTGCAGTTAATTAACACAGGTACTTTTCATTCTTAAGGTTTAAATTTTTTTTCTTTCAACCATATTTTGTAGTTTTCATTACATAAGTCTTAAACTTTACATGTTAAATATATACCTTAATTCTTTATTTTTTCTTTTTGGTGCTATTTTAAATGAAATTGTTTTTAGTTTTCATTTCATGCTGTTGATTTCTTGTGAGTAAATATAATTGCTCTTTGTAATTGATTATTAAACACGGATCTTATTTCTTGCAATCTTTTTGAAATTATTAGTTCTAATATTTTCTTTCTTTTTGTGGATTTTTGTGAATATAGAAAATTTTCTGTAAGATTCTATCATTAGCAAATAGAGACAGATTTATTTATTTCTTTCATTTTGGAGGCCTTTCACTTCTTTTACTTAATTAATTGCCTTCATTAGAATCTCTGGTACTAAGAAAATAGAACTGGTCAAAGTAGATATCCTTGTCTTCTTCTTGACCTTAGGGAGAAAAATTCAGTCTTTCACCATTAAGTGTAATGGTTTTAAATGTCCTAATTTGTTAAATATCTTAATCATGAACATTTTTGAGTTTTGTCGTGTTTTGTCTGTGTGTACTGAGATGACATGTACTATTTATCTTTTATTCAACTAATATACTGTTTTAGTTTTATTTAGTTTTAGATGTTAAACCAACCTCTCTATTCCATTATCAATTATTATATTATTGAACTCATTACTAGTATTTTTTTGAATATATATATATGTATGCATACATATGTATATATACATACATGTATATATGTGTGTGTGTATATATATATATATTCCTGGAGGATATTGATCTGTGGCCTTCTTTTCTTGTGATGTCTTTATCTGGTTTTGCTATAGAGTAATACTGGCATCACAGGATTAGTTGGGAAGAATTCCATCCTCTTCTATGTTTTGGAAGAGTTTGTTAGGGATGGTAATCAATTCTTTTTCCAGTGTATAGTATAATTCATTTTAAAAGCCCTTTAGGCCTGGGATTTTACTTGTGGGAAGTCTTAAAAATTATTAACTTGAAATCCAGAGTAAAAATACAGAGCAAAATAAAAGATGGATAATAGGAAATAGAGAAATAGATCATTCTGGAAGGGGAAGGCAATCAAGAGACTGAAGGAGGGAGAGAGACAAGGGAGATAGGGGTTTAAAAAAGAGGAAATGGGGGGCTGGGGATTTAGCTCAGTGGTTCCGGCGCTTGCCTCACAAGCGCAAGGTCTCGAGTTCGATTCCCGGTACCAAAAAAAAAAAAAAAAAAGAGGAAATGGGATGTGATGTACATGTACCGATTCACACAAGGAATGTAAACATTATATATGCAAACATGCACACGTAAAGGGAGAGGGTCAAGAGATGGGTGGAGAATGATGGAAGGGAAGAGAAAGAGAATAAAGAAAAGAATTACGGTGAACAATCCTACATGGATTGTAAACATTACTTACTATGTATATACTAATAAACTAAACTAAAATAAAAAATATTTTACTAACTTGAGACCATGACATTAAGTGAATGAATCAGACACAGAAGCTTAAAATTCACATGGTTTCTCTTATATAAGAAATTCAAAGTATAAATAAAGAGTAAAGTGAAAGATAGATAATAAGAAGTGGGGAGGTAGATCTTTTGCAACAGGGAAGGGAATCTGGAGATAGAAGGAGGAGGGGGGAGAGATGAAGGGGAGAGGAAGAGGATGAAAGAAAGAATTGAGATGTGTTATGCACATGTATCAACTCCCCACGAGGAATGTAATCATTATGTACTACAATGTGTACCAATAAAAATAGAGATTTAATAATAAAATATCTTAAAAAAGAAATTATTAACTCAGATTTTTTACTTGTTTAGAATATTCAGAATTTCTATTTCTTCTTGAGTGAGTTTTGATACTTTGTATTTCTAGAAATTTGTTTATTGTCTAGGTTATTTAATTTGTTGGCATACAGTTGGTGGTAGTATTCTCATAACTAGTTTTGTTATTGCAAAGTCAGTAGTCATGGTTCATCCTTCATTTCTGATTTTATTAATTGGAGTCTCTTCTCTTTTTTCTTACATGGTGTGGCTAAAGATTTTTTGGTCAGTTTTATTGATCTTTTCAATGGCATCTTTCTAATGTACAAATAAAAATTTGATGGAGAGGAGCAAAGAAGAGAGGGGGCAATATCCATTAAGGTTCTATTCTAATATCTGATTGAGGGAAGTATTACTGACAAAGAAGTCATACTTTTGTATTCTACTATGAATAACTAGAATCACAGCACAAATACAGGAAGAGATGAATCACAGTTCAGATTATGTGATTT